AAATCGGCGGTAAGAGATCTCGTTAGTCTTCCAGAAATGGCTATGGATCCAAACCTAAAGAAGCTATGTGCACCTTATAAATATTCCTCCGTCAGTCTTTCTGCAGTGGTTGAGAGAGCTAAAAGTTTCAGCTAATATCGTCGGTGCTGGATTTACTCGCTTCGGGAGTTGTTCGAACAGTTCCACCACATCCGCCTTAATGTATCCCAAAGTCTTTGGGAAGATAAACAAACCATAAAGGCCCAGCGAGAAAAAGGTCTATCGTCTTCTATTCATCGGGATGATTCTTCATTAGTTGCTTGATATGGGTCCAAGCAATTCCTTCCCCATTACCTTTGTGCTGAATTCGGTTAATTACCCATTTCTCATCTACCCCCGTAGGTTTTGCCAGCATGTTCTTGAAATGCTGACTTTTGATGTGCTTGATGTAAACATGATCCATTCTTATTCCTTCGTAATGCAGCAAAGTGGTATATTCTTCAATTGTGGGTACCATGTCCTCTTGGTTAAATGTGAAACAATTGTACCCCAGATTCTAGAATTGTACTAGGGCTCGAATTAGGGACTTATCTGTCTTGACATAGAGTAGAAGTGCAATATCACCATACCGTTAGCAGAACCTCTATTTATGGTCACCTTTTCAGCTGTCCCAAGTGCTCCGTAGTTATTGAACATCATTCTGCTTTAGGCTGATAGAAGCATAGCCAACCAGATCTCAATTTTCCTTGCAGACTGTCTCTCTTATCATTCTGAGTCTTTTTGGACCCACAGTCGGACCTCGGTGTTTTTCACCTCTTACATTACAACCCCTTTGTCCGTTAATGCATATTATTTGTGTGTAACGAACACTTTTATATGGATCAATCACCTCTTTTTATGATGCAAATGATAAAAAAAGAACAAACATGAAAGAAAAACCAATTAGTAAGATATAAATAATATAATAATATTAAAAGTAAAAAAATGATCACATAAACTGCATGCTTTGAACAGGAAGTAAAACAAAAAATAATTCAAACATCCTAGGTTTTGAAATAGAGTTTCGGGGTGGGCTCTAATTCTCTGTAGTCTATCGGTTTAAGTTCTAAAGAAGGTACATGAGTTATCCTTGCTGGTGCCCCCTTGGGCTTGCTAGACCCTCAGTCCTAAGCCCATTACAAGCCTATGTGGACCAAGTTAAACTCGAGATGATACATTCCCTTATGTCTATAAAGAGAATAAATTCACACGAAGACATAAGGTATATGAATCCCGAAGGTTACTTGCTAGGCCTATACGGAGAATAAATTCCCACGAAGGCATCATTTTTATCTCCACTTAAAAAAGGTTTGGATCTCGGGTATAGAGCCTGAGATGAAAATGTTTAATAAGCTGAAATCATTAAAAAAACGTCAATACAACTATTTATTTAAAAAATAATCAAAGGTAAGTAATAAAGATCAAAAAATTAAATTAAAATTTAAACTTACAATTTTCACTTAAGAAGACAACCGGAAATTAGCCTTAGTCTGACTCACTTACCTTTCCCTATCGGAGTCGCCAAACTGTCCTTACCGTCCTTCGGGTGGGCTCAGAATCGGGCTTCGACTTAAATAAATGTGCTAGAGATGCCACTGATCATTTATAAAAATTTAGGTTGATCGGACACCTCGGTTTATTCTCTTACTTGATCTGCGACTTACCAAAAGTATGTCGGGTTCGGAAGTTGGTTACATTCAAGGAAGGATTAGCACCCTTGTACTGCCCTTTCGGTACTAATTTAATTTATAGTTGTCTTAATTAGGAAATTTGCAAGTTAAATTAGAAGTAAAAATTTGATCCAAATTACTTACCTCCGATCGATTAAAAAGTACCCCTAAAAGGTAAAAAAGATGTTAGATTTGTAAAATAAAAGTATTGAATTGATCAAAAGAAAAAAACAAAGGTCAAATTATAATACTTTAAACAGAAAAAAGAAATACATACATACATGCTGAAAAATAAATAGAAATAAAGTTAACAGAATGAGAAATAGAAATAAATAGAACAACTACAGATAACACATATTGAAAACACAAAGTGATAAAAAATGTTATGTAAAGAAAAAAGGTCAATTGAACTAAAAAGAAAAAATTACCAATTGCAAGATTCAGTACAAATGAAGACAAAAATTAATTAAATTAAAAAAAATAAAAAATAAAAAATGATTATTTTCGGATCCATAACTCGTAAGGCGTGGTAGTATTTTAAATATAATTAGATGAAAAGTGGAATATAAAAACAAGGACCAAATTAAAAATAAAATAAAGATTAGGGTAAAATTAATTAAAAGGAAAATCATGGCTAAGAATTAAATAAAATCATGAAATTGAGTTGCAATAAAACCTTGGGGACTAACCAGATAATTGGACCATTATCCTCGAGAAAACACGCGGATCCTAGGGGATCCGGTCGGGTCATCGGTTCACTATAAAAACCTTAAAAATCATAAACACAATTCATTTCTCCTCCCTCCCTCAAAATCAATCAAAACAGTTTTTAGAAAAAGCTCTGCAATGTTCTTCGCAGATAAAGAACACACGACGAGTGTTCATAGAAAATCCAGAATCTGACCGTGCTCTACCTCACCGGCCGTCGTAAAACGGCATCGGCCGCCGTTCATCGACGGTGAAACCTAAAAAAACTTGTACCTTTCGAAAGCCATTGATCTTATCTCTTCGAAAATCCCATTTGTTTTCAAAAAAAGCCTCGGGGAGAGCTAGATCTGAGAAAGACTTATCGAAAACCCTCCCCTCGATCATTGACTTGTCTTCTTTTGTGGTTTTTTCGAGTTAGAAAGAAAACAAAACAAACCTAATACCAACATGCAAGTGAGCTATCGAGAAAGGTAATTTTTTTTTACCTTTTTATTGCATTTCTTTTCAAAGTTTACAAGTGCTTTTGGCTTTGATCTAACATCTCTTGCTTTCGTATAGTGTGTTTACATTTTTCTTTGCATGGATTTATAGATTTAGATTTAGAATCCTAGCTGGACTGAATAACTAATTTGTTTTTCCTGTTTTTGGCTTGACTTCTATTGTGCGCCGGATAATTCGGGGAGGTGGGTTGTTGTTTCTGGAATGAGGAATCCTCAAGTGTCCTCAAACTGACCGACTGTTCATCCTTGAATGAGAGACGTACGACATTAAAACCCTAAAATCTTACACATTTAGACCGTTAGATTGGTTCAGATCCAACTGATCTGATGATGCGACACTTATATCAAAAGGGTAAAACCCTCGGATCTTGCACATGTAGACCATAGGATTGGTTCAGATTTAACGGATCTGATGATACATCGCTGATATCAAAAGGGTAGAACCCTAAACGCGTCTGGGCGCACATGGGTGGGTTTGCTTATTGGGTACTACGCTTTAGGCCCCAACATACCCTTGTTCTGGACTTGGACTCCCTGTTGGACCGAATAACACAAAAAGGGAAAATATAAAAATATAATAAATAAAATGAAAACATATTATAATATAATATATAATATATATAATATAATATATGTACAATATAATATATAATATGTTAACATATATACATGTATCATATTTTCAAAAGCTATATAATATGTTTTTCAAAAAATATATATTATATATGTTTTCGAAAAATGTTTTTAAAATTATATATTATATATATTTTCACAAAAAACATTTTTTAATATATATATATATATTAAAACTATATATCATATATGTTTTCAAAAAAAAGTTTTCAAAACTATATGTTATACATATTTTCGAAAAATGCTTTTAAACTATGTTTTCAAAAATTATGTATTATATATATTATATGTATAAACTTTTGTAATTTTAGGATATTTAGAGTGAGTGATTGGACGTGGGTTTTTGTTGTTGGATATCTATGAAGATTAAATATCAAAGGGATTGAATTGCCTCATTACTGCACTGAATCATGTAATGATGAGTTGATGTATCTATGCATGGTTTGTCACTACTACACTTTCAATCTAGGAATGCTTGGAAAGATGGGAAATGACTATTTTCCGGAGAATTTAATTTTGGGAAGAACGATTTTCATATTTTATAAACTAAAGCTAGATCTTTTTGGGTAAACTATACGACTTCAATTATCAATTTTATTTCATTTCGATTACTTAATTATTATTATTATCTATTGAAGATGTGGTATTATCTTACGGTGACGTGTTAACACTGTTGTTAGTTTTTTAACGACAATTGACTAAAATGAGACCAAAACATAATGTTGGTATGATTTTAAATAAAAAAATTAGTTGAGTAACAAAAATAGAATAAAAGTAATAGTTGAAGTACTAAACATTGGGTTCCATAAGCATAAACAAAGCATTGCAGAAATGTTAATTCAAGGAAAGCATGGAAAGCATCAAATGTAGCTAAAGTAGTCCCCTGCAATGGAAAAATAAATTATTATAGGAAACTTCCTCAACTTCCTCATAACGTCGTCCATAGTCTCAACCACTAAAAATCACTCACCTCATCATTTTTCCCCTTTATGCCATTTTTTCATAAGGTCTTCACTTTTTTCCAAGTAAATATGGAAGAGGATGGTTATTTGAAAGTTAATTATGAGTAGATTAGTTATTTGAAGGAAAAATAATGGGAGGTGATTTTTACTAATTGAGACCATGGATGACGTAATAAACAGTGTTCATGAAATAACTTCTCCTTACTCTACCGTATAGTAGTCAGAATTTCTTAAAGAAGTCATAAATGTGCATGCTAATCTCCTCAGGTTTTTATTGGTTGATAAAATGGGCTACTCCTTCCATCACAACTACTTCATGCAAGAAAGGCACATCTTGCTTGAACCCACCGTTGAGTATGTATTCCTTCATGCCGGGGAGGTGGTAGGTGATGTCCAGGTTGCCACAATGAACTTAACCGGTACTTGGATTTGTACTCCACTCCATGGTGCCATCAGTTCCCAGTTTCCACAACAAATATCAGATTATCTTCGCTACCTTCAAGTATAGATTAAAAGGAAAAGAAACAGAAGTAAAAGAGTTCAACAATCATAGGCTGCACAATTTGCACGTACAGATTCAAAGCTCGATAGTAGTTCAGTGGTCCCGTAAATCCCTTGTAATTAAATTTGGAGGCAAAGTAATTGATGTCATCTTCTGAAAGCCAAGAGGGCAATGGAGGAACAGGAATCCCTCTAAACCCTATTTCTTTAGGTATACAAGGCGGAAGATGATCGCGAGATCCGAGGGTTAACTGGAAAAGTTTTGCAGTATCCATCAGAGCAGTGCTAGAACATCGAAAACTGGTTCGAACCACAGTGTTAGTTTGGCTTTATGGAATTCGATTCGATTCAGATAGGTTTCCTAAAACCAAAGTACAGCATTCGAACTGCATTTTTTTTTCCCAAAGTTGATCCGAACCAAACTGTTATCACTTTTACTAAGGGTGGTTTTGAATCATTTAAACAACGGTGGATCGTTTCTTTACATTCATATTCAAGTTTCAGCAAGTCCCCTAACAAATGCAAGCAATCACTTCCAAATTATTACAACGAAAATGACACCAATCGTCAACTGAACCAAGATTCAGTTAACTGAAAGTTGTTGATATCATGTTAAATTAAGCAATTATTCCGAAAACTCAAGTTGGTAGGCAAAATTAATTGGAGCTGCGTAGGATCACTTAAATGCTAAAAACTCCATTACCCAGAAACAGATTGGGGAGCCCAATTATTCCAAAATCAGAAATTCAATGCTTCTTAACTGCCAACAAGAAGACCAAATTCCCAATAATTCAAGCAATTCCCTCATCAATTCAGAAAGGGAATTAAAAGATTACCTGAAACCTGCAAATGTAAAAATCATCACCAAACAGAGCTCTCATTCCGTCCACTGGCTTCACCTTGGGGTGCCGAGGACGATAAGCGACGCTCATGTTGACCAGAGCTTTGACTTTATCAGGCCTCAACTGGCAAAAATACCAAGCGATGCTCGCACCCCAATCATGCCCGACCAAGATCATCCTTCTATTACATGGTGTTGTTTTATTGAATCTATTTATTGTTAAAAGTTACAGAATGATTACTCGATTATTTATATTTTTCAAACTCATCTTTTTTCGTTTAAAACTTGACGATCGTCTGAGTTAGATTTTAACATGCTAATTGAAATATGATAGTCGTTTAGATTTTGGGATCAGATTTTATCATATCCTAATCAGCATGTTAACATCCAGTTTAGATTGTCTTCAATCTTTTAATGAAAAAGGATGAGTTTGAAACATAGGTGACCATTTTGTAACTTTTAATAGTCGAGGGACTCAATAAAACAACACTCTATAGTTGAAGAAATATTTTATAACTTTTAATAATCGTTAACTTAACAAAATCGTATCCTATAATTGGAGATCATTTATGTACTTTACCTAAATAATTATTTGATACAAACGATAAAAGATTCAATAATAAAAAAACAGGATAAAGATTCGTTTACTAAGACAAATAGTTAATTGTATTTTAATTAGATTAATATTCTTAATTAATTTTGAATTTATCTTAAATTTTCTTACATAAATAAATATATTTTCTAATAGTTAGAAATGATTGTAAAGTAGTATTTGTTTATAATTTTTTCTTAGTTGCTCACAACATACATCCAAAATTTTTAAGAAGAACAATATTCTTTTTTACTAATGAAGTCATTTAAAATTCCACAAATAAATATGTTTGATTTCACATAATTCAAAAAATTGTTATAAAACCACATATGTTAAGAAAAGAGAGAACAATTCTGAAAAATAATTGTCCCAAATCACAATCCAATTAAAAGTCCAAATCTAAATTAACCCAAAAAAAACATTTATAAAATTATATTTTATCCAACAAAACCCACTACAATGATCTATTACTCAACAAAGCCTGCTACGATGATGCATTACCCAACAACAAAATCCAATTGCAAACTCGTGTCCAGGGGCAAAATCAGAAATTTATTAAAATGGATTAAAGTATTTTTCATTTTTTATAGATATAATTTTTTTAATTGAAGATGCGGATAATTTATTATATATATATATATATATATATATATATATATATATATATATATATATATTATATATATATATATAATATTTATTCCTAAAAATTTTGATATAATATTTATTGTAGAGGTAGTTTCTTTTTTAATTGTTTCTTAACAGTTAGGTTACAATTAGTAAAATTGAAAAACCATTATAATGGTTAACCAAATTGTTTATGTTAAATTTTATGGTTAATTGATCGAGAACACCCCTAGCTGTGAACTCTTTGTAAACCTCAACATTTCTTATCGGGGTGACTGTAACACCCATTTCCCGTATACGTTGTCGAATACGAGTCCAAGATGTTACATGATACTTTTAAAACATTCTTTATTCAAAAAATCAATGAAATTTGTTTCTTTCTAAAATCATTTAAATAATGTCAAAGAATCCAAAATTACTAAATCGTGTATTTAATACATGTCCATTTTTCAGACATCAATATGACAGTTCAATATTGTTTTATACAAAGAGTAAAACGGCCTAAAACAAAATTTAATTTGATAGCAAATAAAATCAAATTTACTAAAATACTATCTAGTATACTATTTTTATAACTGGTAATTATAACAAGTATTATCCATTTTATACTAGTTTCAAACGTATTAATATCATATTTTACTTACTGAAATCCACACATATAACTTTTACAAACCTTTTTATATCATAGACATATCAGAGCATCATGACATATAAAAATACATGCCAACTATAAAATTAAAACAACAGTAGGATGTCATTACTGATACCGATAAAGATTTCTTGATAAGTGATGCCAAACTAAGCTCCTTAATCTACTCGATTTTCTATAACTACGCGTGAAAATCATCACACACTAAGTATATACTTAATGAGACATTAAGTTACTAATAATAGTAATAAAAATAATAAAACATATGTGTAACAAATCACCATATAAAATTTATCTATAACTCGACAATTCACATATAAGGCATTCAACGCCAAACTAATGTTCCCGATGAAAACTTGACTTTCAATTTAATCAAACCTATATATTTCCATATCATTTCATTTCACAACTCAATTGTATGATGAATGAGAATGCATGATACGTGAGTCATATACGAGTGTACTATATGCAATTTAAATGCCTTGTGAATAAATTGCTTTTAGTGCCATATAACTCATTTGCACCATTGGTGCCATATGAGTGTACATGTACTGTAGAACATAGCATCACTGATGAGAGTTCATAATTATTAATCTTTTCTCGTTATTTCTTCGATTTTGTGGAATTATTGCTGCTGAATTGGTCGTGTTATGCTTGTTTTTGTGCAAGTCCTTACTTTCCAGAATTAGTGACAAAACAGGTGCATTCTGCATTTTTTATTATTTGGTCACGGCTAGAGACATGGGCACGACGCGGTCTGATGTGGCGCTTTCTAGAAGGTCCAGTCAGTAACGGTTTCTAGAAGACTTCCTATGCACACCTTCTGGAAGATGGACGAGCATAGTTGCATTAGAAGACTAGTTTTAAGTTTTATTTTAAATTTAAGAATTATCTTTAGGATTATTTTAATTTATTTTTCTTTGTTTATCCTTAGGCTTTGAGAGGCTATAAATACCCACTTGGGGTAAGCCTAAACTCATCACTCAAATTACAATCTTCTTTTCTCTCTAGTTTTATTAAAAACTTTCTCTTTTTACTTTTCAAGTTCTTTTCATTTTTCTTTTATTTTCAAGTTTTGTTTTAAATATGCTAAGTATGACTTTTGTCATGCTTAGCTAAATTTTTTTATAAGCCGAGAGCTGAAGCAATGACTCAATTCCAACGGGAGAATTGATACAATCCCTTAATATCTTCAGAATATCTCTCTCAATATATGCGCTTATTTTTCAAAATCAAAACAGTTTTCAAAATCAAAGAATGACTCTTTTGCGATTAAATGTGTGGGAGGAAGATTCGACTTATAGTAAACAAATTCAACTTCTTGGGAACACACTTGGTGAGATGGCTTCGTCAAAAGGGAATTGAGATCGGAATTGGCGGTTATTGAAGCAACAATTTGAGTTGGTCGCCGCGAACTTAAATGTTAATTGATCTACGACAATTGATGTTGATAGAATCAATTCCCGAAGCCGGAATCAAAGATTGCCTTGGGTATTCGGTATACAAGATAGAGTCACGGGGATAGGCCTTGTAGACAAAGTAACTGACGTGAATCCCGGAGGGAAAATCTTATTCGATGATCTAAAGAAAATTGAGTCAAAGCGAAGCTTGAGGCTATTTTTACTGTATTTATTCACAATCTTTATTCTCTTATTTTTACTTAAATTGATTTTATTTATTTAATCATTTTTTTACTATTTAAATCTCACATTAAAAACCCTATTTTTTACTATTTTCGCCTGGTTAGAACCATTCAAACATAAAATTGTGATTTTCTAAGTCCCTGAGGATTCGACCCTTATTTCTCTATACTACGCATTTCCTTATTTATTAATTGAGAAAAATGAATTTATTTGACATTGAAACGACAGTTGTCAAATTGGCATCGTTGCCGGGGACTTCGCCAAAGTTACTAATTTTTTTGTTTGCTTTTGATTTATGACTAGGACTAATCCGGGTACATTAGTGGAGTATGACCCGGAGATCGAATCCAAAGCTAGGAGACTGCACGCACAAACGCTTCGGGAAAGAAGTAGACAACAATTAAATCTAGAAGAAGAATCAAATTCAGGTGAATCCGTTAATACAATTCCAATGACCGATCCTACTATCCGGGAGTTAGCCGTAGCACCCACTGAAGAAGGGCCTATGTGCATTGCTTTTCCCCAAGGCGAAACTCCGTATCAGTTGAAAACTTGCCTTATTCATATCCTCCCTACATTCCGCGGATTGCTAAAAGAGGACCCACACAAACATCTCAAGGAATTTCACATGGTCTGCTCCAGCATGAGACCACAGGGAGTAACCGAGGACCAAATCAAACTTAGAGCTTTTCCTTAGCCGATTCGGCTATGAAGTGGTTATTTTATCTTCCTCCTAATTCTATCACTACATGGGCTCAAATGACTCGTATTTTTCTTGACAGGTTTTTCCCTGCGGCAAAAGTAAGTGAACTATGAAGGAGAATACTTGGAATCAAGCAGCTTGATGGAGAGTCACTTTACAACTACTGGGAGCGGTTTAAAAAGTTATGTTCTAGTTACCCACAACACGGGTTAACTGAACAAACACTCCTTCAATACTTTTATGAAGGATTATCTCCCCTGGAAATCCACGATGGCCGCAAATTCCCAACAGTTCCGCACAAATAATGAACCTTCTCGAAGGGTTCATGAGATAAGTTCATATCCCTTAGAAAATAAAATAGATAAGTTAATTGAAGTCATAAACTCTCTTGTTGCAGGAAAGACGGGACAAAACCGATTATGTGGAATATGTGCATTATTTGATCATCCGACAGACGGTTGTCCACTGATTCAAGATGACACAACAACTCAAGTCAATGCAGTCGGGAATTTTTTGGGACTTCCCCAAAGAGCTTATAATCCCTACGGCAATACTTACAACCCAGGATGGAGGGATCATCCGAACTTCAGTTATGTTCAGAACTCAAGACCGAATCAAGGTTATCAAGCGAGGCCACCTCCACCACCACAACAGCCGCAGAAGACATCATTAGAGTCGATTGTCTAGAGGTTAACACTTTCCTAGGAAAAATTCTAGAATCGTACTGAAGCCCACTTACAAGAGATAGACAATCAGATGAGCCAACTAGCTCAAACCGTAGGCCGCTTGGAATCACAAGGTAAGCTTCCATTTCAAATTGAAGTAAACTTGAGGGAGAACGTTAGCGCCATCACTCTTCAGAGCGGTACGGTAGTGGCGCCACTTGTTCCATCAGACGAAGCAGTCCAAAAAGATAAGAAGACTGATGATTCAAGATCCAAGAAAGAGAATAACAAAAACCAAA